AGTAGTAATAATAAATAATGAATGAATAATGTGTCCGTTGAACATATCGGTTTAAATCATACTACAGTTTACAAATTAAAACTCACAAACTGCAATTCAAATAATATTTTGCCATTTCTAACTATGTAACAACTATATGTAGTTGGTATAATAGATATTATGAATGACAATAAATAACATGAATAATAATGTATAAATTGTAAATTGTAATTATAACTTCGCCATGCAAATATGAAATATGAATTTTTATATGGAAATCAATTGTATCAATAATTGTGTATCAATAAATGTGAATAAACAAATATCGATATTTTCGATAGGTTTAAACCTGTATCAATGTTTTCGTTGGGTATCAAACTAATATCGATACCCTTGTGAAGTATCAGACTGATTTTGATTCAATACGGTATTGACTTGGTATCATGTGAAAAAGAATCAGTTGATACCACAATCGATACCAAGTACTTAAAATTGCAACACGTATCGACACTCCCTACTTTAATATCGAATTGAATATTAGTAATAGTATTTGTATCGATTCCACCTCTAGTATGTGCTTCTATTTCTTTTGTTATGTGATCTCTTTCTTTTATAGGAAGGCATATAGAAAATAATACGTTTATGATACGATATTCTTGGACAGACGGCCTGAATCTGTGTGAATGAAACAAATGGAAACAACTAATCAAACTAACTAAAACAACTCAATAAAACAAACTTAACTGAATAAAATAAATAACCTCTGCAAGTAAAAGTGAATCGTACCCTTAGAGGGTTAAAAATACCGAAAACAATTTATACCCCTAATTGGAAAGTAACCGATTGTTCGATTGCTACCGCTTATCTCCAGTGAATTAATCTATCGACTGAACGTTTAAGTAATACACAAGACCTTTAAAACAGAAACGAGATTCCATTGATTACTTTCGTAACAATGGTATTAAAAGAAAATGGACAATTTCGTACAATTTCCTCGTGTCAACAGACACATATATATTACAAGTACGTACGCAATTTATGTTACGTCCTTTCACTTGACAGATTAGAAATACGATTCAAAATCACATATCTATTCCGAATTGTTTTCACGTATTTTTTATACTTGCTCCAAGGATAAAAATAATTCAACGTGTAAAAAAAGTCGAAATTCCGCTAACATCAGTTTTTGTAACTGTAAAAAGTTTTTACTCAAAGTTTACTTTTTACTTAAAGCTTGAATCTCGGGGCCCGTCTTTTTCGTCAAATGTCATGAACTTCGTTGAATCGTAGACAAATGATTGAATATGTGCAATGACTGATATCAAACTCGTGATATCGGGACCAACCTTCTTAAACGTTAAAGAACATTCGTTAATAAATTGTGCTTCTAAAGACACGTGGTCTCGATTTCGAGTCTGTCTTACTTACGATTTAAATATTAAGTATAATGAGTATGTTGGCGTTGGAGAGTTCTCTTCTTTAGTTCTCCTTAAACGTCTACTGAAGCGGATTTCAGATATACATGATTAGTCGGTGAATTAATTACTGATATTCCGCGATCGAAGAAACATTAAATACGCGTTACTTCCGTTCATTCTTTGGCATCGTCTTCTTCGAGATCTTCCTTAAAATTGTTTTACCTCGATCCTTGAATTAATTAAATCTTGGTCCTTGAATGACTATTTTAATTCTTTTGTGTCGCTTAGATCAATGCTCTAATCAACTTTTTGAATCGACTTCTTTCATACGGCAATATTCCGTCGAATTTTTCCGTGTTCGTGTTGCCGATCCATTCGAAAGCCTCTGCCACAGGAAGGACACACACCCTGCCGTTCATCATAATATGTAGTATGATCACGCATTAGCCTATATTTCTTCAAACATTCCTCGTGTTCTCGAATACCACAACAGTTCGGAAAACTTCGCACCCCGAATGATCTCTTACACCTACCTACTTTCGATTGATCAAAACATCCCTTAACTCTCCTACAGTTTGTCTTATAGAAATCATCAGCCTAGTAAAAGCTTTAATGGACGAAAAGTTTTATCGTTTTGTAAGTTCGATACGGATGCAATTTTCGAATTTCTTTTTCTGTTCTCCCTTCACGCGAGCAAATTCAAAGTGTACTGTCAACGGACAGCACAATTACTATCGGAGAAGATTCTCCTAACAATTTAGATTCGCGTTATCAAAAAACTATAAACGTCTCGTTGCATTTTTCTCTCGTCGCCTTTTTTGTATACGTGATTCGCAAATGTAATCGTATGTCTTTTATGTTTGCAGTGATTCATGAATTGAAATTATTATCAAAATTCTGAAAATAACAGGACCGAGAATAACGACCTCACTACTGTAATTCGTTGAAGAAATTGATTTTCATTATCGATGATTTTCCATTAATTTTGATTAATTATCTGCAACTTCAACAGGTCGAAACTTGCAGATTATAAGTGCAATTTATTCCTTGATGTTCGATACCATATTTTGTTCCTTTATATTCATAATTGTCATAGTTTATGTTCGTGTTTGAAATTCCTAACAGAAAGCTGGTTTGCTATCACGTTTCCTAACGAGTACAGCCTGTTCTGGGCTAGCATGATAAATCTAGGCTCAATTGTTACTTTATTCTTTAACATCCCTAATTTAATGGAAGTACACTGTAATGTACTTACAACATACAAAGTAATAACCAACTCCAAAATTGCCAACCTTGAGAAATCTTCACGAAATAATTATACGAACAAACCACGATTGAAATATGACAAATCAAAATAATTGAATCGAATTATTATAAAAATTGCAAATATAGGTGTTATTTTCTATTCGTACATCAGATATGGAAATAATACAATTGTTTACTAAATGAGCGTAGGTCACTCGCACATGAGCATGCTCCTACTCACATCAACAAACCACATCGAACAAATGAATCGTCGAGTTACGTGGATCATTGATTGCACTATAAATGAAGACTAGTCAAATAGAATTTAGAGCCTTGAGTCGTCTAGCGAACAACATTGTTGTAAATATAAATGTGCAGAGCTGAAAAGAATGCATGTGACTCCTATCCCTTTAACACTCTCCTGACATACAATTAAATTAGTTATGTTTCGGTTGAAAACGTTGTAGCGCTTACAATTAGTGAAATGTGAATCTCCCCAGCTCTGAACAGTACTCGAAGCTCCATGTCAGTACAATTTAATTTATACCAATTAACTTATACACCAATTGAATACAGTTCGGCTACATGAACTCAACAAACCGAAGAGCATGACACTTTCTCTATACTATGATTGTTGGAGTTCGTTTGAGCCATTTCTGAGATCAGAACAGGTTTTGATTTTATTACTAGGTCCACCTAGATTACACTTCGTTTACATTGAACGAACTTTTTTTTGACTTCAACAATGTGAGAAGAAAATAATGTAGAATTTTGGCAAAGAAGGAACAAACATTTGTTTGCATATTGTTAGTGTAAACTGAAAACACAGCATTGCAGCTATTCTTGTAGCTCCTTCATTTGTTCAATGTGGCTTGCTAAATGTAAGGTATACACGCGTGTATGAGTAATATGTGTCGGCGAAAGATATTTCGTTTACAAAACGCTCCTTTAGCGAACAAATATACTGTACACGCCACTCCAGATAACTTGTGGAAGAATGTAGGTTTTTGCGGTTGTACAATCGCAGAGCCTACCTTTCTTTAACGTAACGTGAACAAAGGCCTACTTTAACCTCTGTGCCGTACTTCATCTTGAGTAGCGCGTAAAATACTTACCATGATACGTTGTAACTCAAACAAATCAGTTTAAGATACTGTTTTAGTCTCCATTACACTAATCGAACAAATACTTTTACAAAATTAATAACTAACCACAACTATTTTTAGATGACATTTTATTGTCATTTTAACCATTATTACTTTCTGTAATAAACAAATAAATGAGAGGCTTATTTCTGAAGGTAACGCAGCTAAATGTGTCTTTATATTGAACAAATATATTTTAGACATTGCAACTTATTCTGTCAGATTACTGTATTCATTTGATGAGATAAAATAAGCTACATGTTTAATAAAATTAAAATCGGAAAATTAATATTGTGAATCATAACCTCAGTTTCTATGTTGTAACACGTTGATATAGTAACTATAGATACATTTCTAACCCCTTTTGAAAATATATGATTATTGCAAAATTCATATATATTCTTGTCAGTTTGCTGTAGCAACGAGAAGAATAGAAACAAATGTCGAAAAATTTCAAAAATGTCATTGAATTATGAATGAAATAACTGCCCAATATTTATTTGTTTGTTAAAGAAAATAATCATTAAGAAATAATTGTATGTATATCAATGTCCAATCTCAAACTAGTTTATTTGGATTATAACGTATCACGTTACTATCCCAATACCAATTGCTATCACACAGGTAAAAAGAAATAACGGTAATATCTTGTCATCATTATTCTGACTCCGTTAAAAAAAATGTAACTTGTAACCCGCATATACCTTGATATAAAAAATACAAATTTATGATATGATGAAAATTCTACTTAAAATGCAACGAATATTCAATTCAATTAATTTGATTCCGCCCCTACATAATTAAATTTCATAAACATTAAACTTAGTTATCTCAAGTTTTAAAATAGTGAAGATTAGAAACTAAAGTTTACGACAGAAATACTTGAACAAAACTTTGGTCCCACAGTTTAATCATTCTCTGTTATTATAGCAAATCATCCTCTGTCAGAAGTTGACAATGAAAGCTAAATAGTAGTGAGATCACACCAAACTTCAAATACACTACAAATAAATGAATAGAATTATCAAGAAATTCCATAACTAACAACAGTTGTAGACCCTTGTAAAATTTCAAACGAAATTCTATTCGTAATAAGAAAATACTAATTAACAAATTTTCTAAATTAACAAGCACTCTTCAATTTTTGATTCGCTTGTTTTTTCTTCTTAAACGCGTATGCAATGCGAAAATCATTGGTAAACGATTTCTGAGCAAATTCCACTTTCGCTTTGTTTATCCATTTTCAATAAAAATAATTAATAAAATAACCTAGATGCAAAGGTACGCCGTTTCTAGTTATAAAAAAGCTTGTCCTCGTAAAAATTTTCTCCCTCGAATTTGCTCCCGATACGAACTTCTCGTGCTTGTTCAAACTTGGAAGGGGTATCAAACTTTTCCCATTATTTAGATCCTGGACACATAAAGCGATCGATGAATCTGCTGCGGGTTTCCATTCTGCTTCGAGTGCCGAGGGTTCTGCAACAATTCTCGGGTCTCGCTCGGCGAGCCAGGACTCAGGCTGTTGGTTGTTGACGTTTCGACGCGATCGCTGATAATCTCCTCCTCGGTGATTTGTTCGAGATACAGTGTGGATTGTGCCGTCTGTTGATCTCCGTTCATCGTCGGAGGTGGCGAATAAGCAGGAGGAGGACTTCTGGGTGGAGAACCAGAATCTTTCTCATTTTGTGACTCGATAGATTCACTTGACATCACTTGTTGCATTTGCCTTGCTCTTCTAGCTTGTTTGGTGGTCAGTCCTCCCGTTTCGACATCCCTCTCTAGCCTGTGTCCCGACCTTGATCTGGTCAACTGCCTTTGCACGTATTCTTCTAGATCGTTCTCCTCTTTCTTTGCGATCACTCTGTTCAAGACTATCAAGAATATACCGACGATGATGGCGAACAACCCTATAGCCACTAACTCGTTCCACCATCCACCGGAAGCTTTGGTACCCCATTGAGCCAGGTCTCCCGGTAACAAACCACTCATCAGAAGGAAAGCTCCGAGGACTAAAAAGACGACACCGATGTGGAGCATCCCAATCGATGTGACCACCTTCGTTTCCAGCATGCCTTGGCCAACTAAACGATTCGGATGTCCGGATTTATGATGTCTCGGGGGATGATCCAAGGAACCGGTCGAAGCCCTTGGCGATGTCAAGCCACTCTCGCCCGATTGTGCGCTATAACGACGCTCACGGGCACGACGCTGCTCGTCCCGGCGCTTTCTTTGACGCTTGATGGCCAGCGCCGAATGCAATCCAACCGCGTGCATCCTGCAACACCGGAAAGACAACCCTTGCTCAGTCAATCCTCTACAACTGCCTCCCCTCTGCTCTCCCTCCCCCTCTTTCTACAAATATTACCACCACTTTCCTTGTTTCTCCCGAATATTTTTGCTCTTTTCATGTAAACAAGGAACACGTTGAGACGAGCATTGCATCACCATTATTTAATCTCTTCCAACTTTAAAAATATCATTCCGTAAATTTCATGACAATAAATATCTTTAACTAGAAAATTTCTCTATGTGTTTCATTATGTACACTTGATTATTGAATCAAAGTTTTAGCAATGTTTTTCTTATGGAAAAAGATCTGACGTATATCAGAATGATATTGGATGAATAAATTTAATTCTGAAACTATGTACATTCTTCTATTTAGTTTGAAAGATGCAATGGAAGACAATGCTTGTCTCAATGGAAATCTATTATATTAAGGGTTTATTTAATCATTCGGTAGAAAAAAATTTGTAATTCTAAAAGCTGTACAGGGTTCGCCCACAGGGTTCACAGGATGCACCGCGACAGAATCGCGCATTTCACTAGAATTCACTACTTGCTATTCGCTAATAAATTACCAAAGATTTCCGTTGGTGCCCTCGGACCTGTGAAAATATCTTCTTGCACATTGCGTTCTGTCATCCAGAATGACACGAAGTCCAGCAACGTGGAAGAAACGAGACGAGATGAATGTCTTGTTAATTTCAAATTATCGCAATTCCCTTAAATTGAAAAAAGTGGAAATTCGGTCGCCTGAATTTGTATACATGCTTAGAAGACTCGTGGACCAGAAAGTGTATGGATAGTATCTGTATTGTAGTGAAATTTAATTATTCTGTTGCACCCTACTTCCTTTGTTGTGTGCGTTGTGCATAAAAACGGAATGCATATTCCTTATCGATTACACAGGGAGGAGCATGAATCTTACCATGAAAGCTTAAATAATCTCTTACTTTTTAATTATTTAAAAACTGATATCACTGGAATAGATTTATGTTTTAATAATATTTTATACATTTTACGTTTTAATAACAGAGGCATAGAAATGTATAGCGAGATAGGGTAGTTTAACTAAACTTTAAATTAAACTCCCAGTTTATGGTACAACGCGCATTGAGAAATGAAGGAAAATGGAAAATTGTATTTCATACCGAAACATATGAATTATAATCAAACAGAACAGTTTAACAAACAGCTGCAACAACAAATAACATCAATCATTGCCATCATTAAAATGATTCGACGATTTCAATTTCACAATTTTAGACATTGATATTTAAACATGTATCGGTTGAACATGTGGAAGCAACGTTTTGATTGACATCATTATGCAATATCGATTGTTTTGTTAAAATTTTCACATCATTTTAAGTAATGGTAACCACTACTGTAATATTGTTTATTTTCGAAGTTTAGTTTCGATAATAGAGTTTTTCTTTGAATATTTCTTCACTCATTAAGCTGCTTCACAACCCGCATCTATATTCTCGGAACCTACTATTTTATTTCTCAGTGCACGCTGTTGTTGCAATTAGAAAAGCTAAATCAAAGCACAATTGAACTATCCTAATGTGTGTCAAAATATATCTCCATTTTTAGAAGTTTAAATATATTGCAATAAATACAAGAAATTCTTTAAAATACTTGAAAACTGAAAGATTATTTAAATTTACATATTTTCCCTAGCTTGCTCAGTATATTACATAAAATAACAATTTAAATCGCTAAGTATGTATTGTTTCAAATATTTTATTCTTTTATACAAAATAAATATTTAAACAAGTCATCCGAATAACTTCAATCATACTGAACTTTTCTTTTTTTTTTAAATATAATTACATAGTTTCGTATTTGCAACTGTAGAATAGAATATAGAACTATGTACACGTTTACTAGTAAGGTGAAGTGGGGTAAGTGCAGACTGGTTTTTGTAAGGTATTTAAACGTAAGTATTTTCAGTCTGCTATGTAAATACTTAACGCTGTCGATATCGAACGCTTTGCACAATTATCAACTATTTAATTAATATTAACTAGGACCTTGATTTTCCTTGTGCATTTTGATTTTGATAGGAAATTGTTTAAAATGTCAACTACTCTGCACTTTCCCCGAAAATGGGGTAAGAGCGTAACTTAAAGTTAAGTACTTTGAAACTTTATTTCATGTGCAATGGGGCAAGAGCAGAATTATTAACAAATCTGCCATAAAATGCTTTTTACTGCATTATGCAAGTACTCTATACTGCAAACAAGTACTCTTAGCTGAAATATATAAGGGGATATAGTGAAACAAAACAAGGAAACAAACATGCTAAATGGAGAAATTTCGCTCATATTGTAATAAAAATAGCCTGTATACGCATGTGCCCCGTTTACGAACTTACCCCATTTCACCTTACCTATAATTGAACGTCATTCAACGTTTCTTCTTACTTCCGTTTCTAGTTTCTTGATAATTGTTAATTATTTTGATATATGGATTACCATGATCTACGTAGGTCAGGCGTGATCGAACGCCATTTCCACTTACAACTGCATAGTCGTTATTATAAATACTGCGTTTAGTCTAAGCAAATAACTAGATACGTGGCTAGTCTCACTTATTCTGGTATTCAAGAGTGAGAAAGAAACCTAAGTTATTTTTTTTACTTTATATTGGCATAAATCAAAATAAATATAAGTTACTTGTCTGGCCACTTACCTGGCTACTTACCTAGTATAAACGCATTATAACGCTGTCTCTGAGTTGTGTTCATAATATAAAGCTTAAAAGTCTTAGACTTTGTCCAAATTTGTATTTCTGTAACTACGTTTAACATAGAGATGTTTGCATAGAAGATTGTTGATAAAAAGTTACTAATCAATCGTTTGCTTTTGTACAGTGACAGTAAAGCAACTTCAACTACGAGCTGATGGCTCTGCCTGATGTCTTGATATTCAAGAGTATATTCTGCGTTTTATTGTAGGATTACAAGAGTATATTCTGCGTTTTATTGTAGGATTACAAGAATATATTCTGCGTATTATTGTAGGATAACATTTCAATACATTACATAAATTGTATTGACACTGTACAGTTAACTGTGTTGAACATATTATTTTAGTACTTGCATTTCGTGTATTTCAATTTTTGAAGAATTTTGCGGCTTTTATTATGTGATTAATCAGCATTTTAAAGATGTGTTCAGTGTTGACAGAGAAAGAGTGAAGTACGTATAATGGAAGTTTAACTGATTGTTATCAGTGGAGTTAGGAAATAAAGCTGGTAGTCGCATGCGATTCTAACATTCGCGCTACAAGTTAACCATACTTTGTCCTACCAATTGTAAAGCTTTACTATAATAACAACACACTATGAGCATTTAAATAAACTGTAATCTTCACGAAATGTTAGCTGCAACAAAGACACAATCCAAACCCTAGTTATTGGCTAAACTTTGTTTAGAGCATCACTTCTATTTATCTTGTTTTGGATAATGAAATAGTATTCGATAAATACAGATGAATACAGCGATTTTTAATGCTGAAGTCTATTAACAGGAGTCTCAGAGAATCGTGGTTCAGATACATAATATATTTAAATATCGAAAAATAGTAATGATAATGGTTAGACTAAAATAGTCGTACTGAAAACGTTTCATAAATTAGTGCATCATTTTACTTGTTCTTGAAGAGCGATGAAATGAAATTTGGTAAAAGAAAATAAAATCGTATCAGAAACATAGTTGGTGTCAAATGATGTCGTTTTAAAAGAAAATATTTATTCGACATACTTTTTCTCTCACTTGTTTTTGCTTTATATGTCACATATTATACGCTTTCTAATGTACTGAATACTTGTTCCTGAAGAAAATTAGATTCTAAACTGCATCAATTTATAATTTGCTTCCATATTACGCTTAGCTTTAACCTCTTAAGGGAGGAAATACCTTTAGACCGATGAAAATAGGCTGATTTTTGTGAATTTTTTTGTATAGGATATCTTTGTTTTGCGTTTTTGAAATTTCAGGTATAATTTATTATAACTATTGCCTATTACACAATATTTTTTGTTTTTAAATACATTTAAAAATGGCGGAATTATAACAGTCCTTCCTGGAAGTGTTTGGCGCGTCTCGTGAATCGGTGTGGGTTCTAGCCTTAGATATATTGGTCTGAAGCAAGTTTGCAGACAATGTTTCAAAAACTAACATTCACAGTTAGTAGATGAACCTCAGAAATGTGCAAAATGT